CCCCCCCCCCACACACACGCAGAGCCGCAAGATGAAACTTGGCCGTGTTCCTCATTCATTATCAGCAATGACGACGTCACATACATACTTCGGCCGACCGTCCTACCAAAAATAACAAACTCTCACAATAATGACGGAAAGAAAAAAAGTCATAAGCGCTTTACTCTACAGGTGCATTGCAGAGGGAGCTGTAGCTGCTGAATCAGCGGGAACTACTGCCGGTCCCAAACACGCCACGTCAGACCACCACGCCCCGCCAGACCACGCCCCGCCGCGCCTCGCCACACCACGCCCCGCCACACCACACCACGCCCCGCCACACCACGCCCATCCGAACCACGCCGAACAAACATCAAAGTGCTCCACGAGTAAGCGTCACTGCGCACAAGGAGAGAGAGAGGGACGTGATGGAAAGGAGAAATATAGAGAGCGTCCAGGCAGGGCGAGAGGAAGTGAGTGAGAGAGAGAGGGAGGGAGAGATAGCACGGTGAGGAGTGTGTTTGAGTTCCTGGAGCCTCCAGCGGCTCAGAGGAGACGCCTGCTGCCTGGAGAAGACTTGGAGGAGGAGGAGGAAAGAGGACCAGTCGGAGAGCACCCGGAGACGTTGCCATTTCAACGAGAGAGCCTCTTCTCGCGAGAGAGATTTTTATCTGCTCGTCAGTGTCCTGCTTCCGGCCAAACAATCATCGTGCAACGGCCCCCGGCAGGAGTGAGCCGGGCGGAGCCGGGTGGTCCACAGCGACGAAAGCAGACGGTCGTGTCGCTCCGGCGGCGCTACAAATACCTTCTATACAGCGGGACGGGGGCCACCACGAGCGCACCGCAAGTGGCGGAGTGGCGAGGGGCAGCCAGCCAAAGGAACAAGCGAGAACAAACGCCGGAATTCCGTTGCGTGGTCGTGGCTCTCCGGCTCGGCTCGGCCCGCCCCGGCCCAGGCCGAGCCGGCAAGGCGCTCCGTCTATCCTTGAGGTAAAGCCTCCCCCCACCCCCTCGCGATAAGACAAAGGTTGATAAACGCGCCCCTCGCCACCTGCCGCCACAACCACGCCACCACGCAACCACCCCTTCCCCGGTAAGGGCCTCCGTGCCGTCCACCCCAGACCGGCCACAAATGCTTATCTCTTCGATCAGTGCGCCACCTACCTCCTCCTCTCCTGCGTTAGAGCGGCCAGACTAGAATTCTGCGCTGCAGCGGCCACCGCCGCCGCACCAGCTGTCCCCGCTGCCCCCTGCCACTTTCTAGTCCAGCCCCCACACAGCGTCGTCGCGACTCGCCTCCACCTCCTCATAAAAGCGGGCGTATAAAAGTTGTGCAAGTCTCTTATACGACTTTCGCACGCCGGGGCGAGGGGCGAGGCCGGGCGGGGCGGGGCAAGCTCGAGATCCTCGGCCCTCGGCCGGGCAGCACAGCCAGACGGCGCGCAGGGGTACCCGAGCCCCGCCCCACCCCGACCCGCCCCGCCACGGCCGCAGGGCACAGCCGGGATGCAGCGCATATAAAAGTCCGGCAGCGTGTGTGTCGACTTGCCGCGAGGTGCAGAAGCGTTCGTGTTCGACCGACGGCGCGCCTCCCCGCCACGCCAGGAGGGGAGGGAGGGCCGGTCTGGCTGCAGGCAGGGGTTGCTTCCCAGAGAGAGAGAGATACGGACGGGAGATACAAATCCCTTTCCACCCGCACACACACACACACACCACACACCGCCTTCCCCCACGAGCAATTCAGAAATGACGGCGGCCCGCTCTCTTTGAAAATCCCCGCGCTTCCCGTCTCACCTCCCCCCTCCCCCTTTCCACCGTACCGGGATAATCCCGCAGCGCAGCAGCAGTTGCAGCGGTGGCAGCAGCAGTGGCAGCAGAAGTGGGGAAAAGAATAATTCGCACGACACGGCAGTGCGAGGCGAGGCATTTTCAGTCTGTTGAACCGGGAGTCTGCGACGCGCGGGGAGTTCGACACAGCAGCAGGTTCACAGATTCCCACGGTCTGGTGGGACACTCCGAGCGTGGGCGTGTGCGTGTGTGAGTGTGTGAAAGAGAGAGAGGGGAGAAGAGTGAGAGCGGCATAGGGAGGGATGGAGATAGAGAGAAAGAGTGCAAGGGCGGGAAAAGGGTAGGCGGGGGTTGGCGGCAGACATATTGCTTTCGCACGAGAATTGCATTTCCTTACGACGTCCTGAGCCGCCGGGGCCGCCGCCCGGTCCGCGCCCAGATGGAATGAGTTCCGAGACTGTCGGGGAAGTGCAACTCCTCACCCCGCGACCCCCGCGCGAACCCCTCCTGGGCCGACCTACCCCTTTTGGAAATCCTTCACAAACCCTAAAGCCCCCCCTCACTCGGCCGCACGGACCCAAGCTCCTCCCCTCTGACAACTCCCCCCCCCCCTCCTCCTCCTCCTCTTGCCTTCCCAACACCCCAACAGGGAATAAGCTCATGGGAACCGGAAGCCGGAAGCGTGATGGCCAGAGCTCGGCATGGCTGCCTGCTCTCTCGGGCGGGGTGGTGCTGCTGGCCCTGAGGCTGGCCCTGGCGGCGTCGGCCGCCAGCCGGACTGGGGTCGTTCTGGGGTCCCCAGAGAGCGCAGATACATAGCCCCAATCTGGCCAAAATTTTTCCTCATTCCGTTCGCGTATTTTTATTTCATCCGCAACCTCCACCCTTTTTTTTTCCGAACCAGCTCCTCTCTTCTCCTCCACGCCACCGTCCGACACGAAAAACATTTTCCCCCGCGACACACACACTCCTCAGCGTCCTACCGCACCGACCGCGG